GATGTAGGGTGTTGATGATGCTGCTGCCAGTAGTGTGCCTGCAAGACCTACCACAACAGAAGGCAATGAGAAGGCTTAAATATTGCTTTTTAAATAGAGATGTTTTGTTAGTTACTTTTTGTCTTTTTTGAATAGTGGTCATTTAGGGCTTTGGTTTATTGAAATTGTGACCAAATAGGTTAAACCACTGTCATGTCCTTATCTATATAGCTTGTAAAGGTCATGACCAAAAACAATAGTATATATGGTCATATGAATTCACCATTTTCAATATTTTGTAACAGTAAATTGCAAAAATAGCACTTAATGTATGGCCGAATAGGGGATTTGGTTTTGTATATGTTCTTTCAATGAATGGCAAAATTTAGTTTTGTATATTTTTTTTCAATGAATGGCCAAAAATGAAAATTATTTGTACACATTGCTTGCAAACAAGTAATAGTGATGGACACAACAAAACAAGACATTTCATTTCATGCAGATAAATTTTTGGCCAAATTGGGTATAACTTCTGGCCATTTCCAAAGTTACATGAAATACCCAAAAACACACTTAACCACACTCAAATTTCCAACATTCTACCAAAACAAGAAGTTTATAAATGCCAAATTCAAAAAATAAAGTGCAACAATAACACATCCAAGTTTACATAATGCAATCTGCATTTTCTTTTCCAACAAATTCTCCATTTCATGCATCCTCTTTTCCACCTTATTAATTTTAGATAGTTGATCACAACCAACTTCTTCCACTGGTTGATTAGTTGCAATTTCCTCTATCCCCTCGTTCACACTAACACTTTGCCTTTGCCTTTGCCTCGTTTGCTCAACCTTTTCCTCATGACTATGCTTCAACTGCTTCCTTAGCTCAGAATTTTCCCTTAACAGTTTTTTCCTTTCGTTATAGAGGTACCAAATAACATCTTTGGCCCTTTGAGTGAAGTCTGTATCATGCCACACAAAGTAATCACACTTCTTCGACACATCCTCTTCCTGTAACCAAATTGAGCATATAAAATCATTGTTCAAAACTGAAAGCCAAAAAAAAAATAATAATAATATTTTTTTGAAAGTGAAACCCACCCTAAAATCTGGACATCCATAAAAGCGATGACCTGGATTTGAGTCCCTCCATGCAGTCCACCGTGGAGCAAACTTACCACAGTCGCAATGGCGAATGGGTGGTGGGTAGTCGTACTCGGGAATACCATCATATGAGATGAAAGGAGGACAACTAGACGAAGTCGATGCACCACGTGAAGTAGAACCTCGTGAGAATGAATTTCCATATGTCCTCGACATTTCTCTCTTATCATAAATTGGGGTTAGGTTCAGGAGAAGACAGTGAAAAAGGAAGATCGTGGAAAAGCTCAGTGAGGATTAAGAGGAAAATGAAGACAAACCCTAAATCCCCAAAATGATTTTGCAGATCTGTTTTAAGATCTTTGGGTTTTTAGGTTTTGCGCTTTTTTTTTTTTGGTGGGACGCGGGGATAAGCGAGAAAAGTCCCGCGCAGTGGGCCCCACTGAACACGTGGATGCCACATCATCAAAAAGCAAATCCACATCTGAATCTAACGAATAAGAAAACGCCGCATGTGCCACGTCAAGTTCTGGGTGCCACGTAGTGCATTTTTTAACGGTGCCGTGACGGCCCGTTAAAATATTGGGTTTTTCACAGGTTTTGAAAAGTTGAGGGTGTGAATAGGGAGGAAAAATTCTGAAAGGTGTTGACCACAGAAAAAAAATAAATGGAGGGTGCAAATAATGGCTTTGGCCAATCCATTAAGTACCTTCTCACCTCCTTAATTTTTCTTCATTAACTTTTTGATCGGCATACAATTTTTCTATCGAATGCTTCTTACACTAGAGACACCTTCGCCAACCATGACAACAAACTCTCACAATCAAGTTCGATTAACCTTCAGCGAAATCTTTGAATGCATGAATTGAAAAGCTTGAAATAATAGGCAAGCTGTGTTCGGTTCCCTACAGTTTTTTTCTTGACACAAAATTCTTGACACGGACTTTGTTTCACCACATTGGTGAAGGTTGCGGTGCTTGGGTTTGAACTGTCAACGCCTCAGGCAATTTTTAGCCATACAACATTAACCGCTTATTATTATTATTTTTTTTTACTAATCTCCCGATATTTGATAACCATAGAATCTCGACTAATTCAGAATCGAGTTGCGTAGAATCTCATAAAGAAAAAAACTCTCTCAGCGCCTATTTTTCCATTCACAAAACTCAAACTCGAGACCTTACTTAAGGAAAACTAAGCTCCTTCAAGACCTTATATAAGGGCAAGCTATGTTCGGTTCTCCATTCACAAAACCCTTTCAACTCCCTCCACTCATACCAACAAATTGTTGATAACATTAACCTCTTATTGTTTGGGAGTTGGTCCCACTTCTATACTGTTATAAATACTGATTTAAGATCAGGATTGGAGAGTTTTTGGAGTTCTCTTGCGAGCTTTTTGAGAATTCTTTTGGTCCCAAATTAGCTGTAAGACTTCACCAATGATACAAGATTACGAGAGTCAACATCTTTATATTAAGTTTTGTTTTTCTTGAGTTTTATTCTTTATTTTAGTTGAATTCTCGGTTTATAAAAATGACTTCAAATTCTATTATTTTTATTATGAACTCATATAACCAAATAAGACTGATATAATCCAACCAATTTATATATACTTTTAAGATTATTCTTTCATTATTAATACATTTTTTAATACTTGATCACTATTAACATTAACATGTTTCTACACAATTGAAATCAAGAGAAAATTTTATGTAATAACTTTTAATAATATATATCATAAGTTAAACAAAAGTTAAAAATAGACAAACATGATTTGTGTAACATTAATGATAAGTAGGTTTGAGAGTTTCTAATAGGTGAAAATAAATTTAGTATAACTTAATAAAATATATCAAATAAAATAAAAAAACATAATAATTTAGAATCTATATTAACTAGTTATGATTGAACCAAATACTTTAATACCTCATATTTTAACTAAATTTTATTTTAGTTTGTTATTATTTTTAGTTATGTTTAATTAAAATTTCTTCCTTCCTTCTCAATTGTTCAAATAAATTTTGAGTTAATTATTCTTGATATTTAGTTAATTATAATCCTCATGGTTTCACTACTCTTCTCATTACTTTATTACTAGTGATTTTAGCGCATCAATAGGTCCCCTCCAAACATGTTTATTCCAACGATTTGCTACCAAAAACTCAACCACTGCAACACATTACACTCGCACTAAACTCGTTCACAGCTAATGGACAAAGATTCGCGTCTTGAGTCTTATATGCTACCTCTCTATATTGCAGCAAAGTACTCCTTGCTGAGCTTAGGGTCTGGTTTCATTGATTTCTCTCCTGGTTTCCATCCAGCCGGGCAGACTTCATCAGGGTTTTCCTGCACATATTGCAAGGCCTGTGGGGAAGCAACAAAAAGCAAAATCACAGAATAGTTAAACACCATAAAGAAATTCAATCTAAAACATTAGCAAAATCATACATATGGTCAACCTTAGTCTTAGGCCTTGTTATGTATGTAATTACCTGAAGGGTCCTCAATGTCTCATCAACACTCCGGCCAATTGCAAGATTGTTAATGGTGGAGTGCTGAATAACTCCTTCCTTGTCAATGATGAAAAGGCCCCTCAATGCAATTCCCTGACGTCAAAACTGAACTTGTAAGACAGTGTGCAGTGCAGACAATATTGGTACAAAGTGCATAATGACGATAAATGTAGAACCTAGTCAGCCTATTTTCAAAATTCAATCTCCAGATTTCCTGAAGAAATAATATGAGAGCCCTTTTGTTGAGACTCAAAAAGGGTAAAGAGGAATGTGGGTAGTTACTACCCCAAGTGTTGCATGATGGTTGCTAACTAGGCAAACCATGCCCTCAGCCAGCATCAAGAAAGATGCAAGACTCATGCCCTGATATTCGCATTCACAATCAAAAGCTTTTGCACAGTGAAAAAAAAAAAAAAATCAATGAAAGGCTTTTACACGGACTGTTATAAAGAAGACAGTTGGCTCCCAGTATCCCAGGGTAAGGAATGAGAGATTCATTTCTGCAGCAATATTTTACAAAAATCAGAACCTCTAAGAATTGTAACCAATCAGGTATTTTTGAAGTAAACAAAACAATAGGGCAGTTTTTTCACTCATCCTCCCTCTAATAAATAATTTGTGGGTGCTACCAAAAACAAAGTGCTGAGATATAATCAATAGATCCATTACTCAAACAGGAACTATGGAAGCCAAGAGACTATTGCTACTGCAGTTCAGAGAATAACCAAAGCTGAATATCCATATCATCATAACAATGACTATGCTGATAAAGAAAACATTACAATAACCTTGAAGTACCGGCTTTCTAACTTTCTTAATTACTTATCTTCAGATGTCCACGTTCAAAGATAGGGAAGCATATTGCATACCTGATCAGGGATCAGCACTCGATAAGACTTTGCAATTGACTTGGTAACATCAGAGACCAGTGGGTACTTCAAGTCACCAAGACCACCAGACTTTCTATCTGTTTGAACCCAGGCAAGGTGCGAGAACTACAAGAAGGATATTGATAGGCATTACAAGATTTTATGTGACATCTTAACCTAACAAAAACACCATTGACTTGAAAAATATGATATTGATGAATTAAGTCTTGTGTAATGGTGATTAAAGACATGATACAATAGATAAGAACTTTTATGGAAAAGGAAAAATGCAAATAAGTCAAGAAAAAAAAAATCTATAAGATAAAACTGATCAACAGCAGAGAATAACTTCTATATAGAACCTTAAATTCCTTTTTGATGCCTCCAAATCAAAAGAGAAAAACAGAAACTTTCCTAGTTTTACTTTTATACAATTTTCTCTCACACATGCAGATGTTCTCACTAGAAATCAATATACAAATATAATAGAAAAAATTTGTGTCTATGTGAATGAATACATGCGTGCACAATGATCCCTCACAACATGGATTCAGAGAGTATATAGAAGAAAATTCAAAAGTACAGAAAACTTAATGACCTTTACTCAGAGCATATGCTCGGTGACACTGCAAGGTAAAACAGATTCAGTTACAGTTGATAAGCAATGCAAGTTACCAATGCATCCTCAAAATGAATCAACAACAGCCATGTATTATTAGCATCTTTATGTTAAGAATCTTGAGATTGATAACCAGTTAGGAAGGCAATGAATGCTGATTTGAAGAAAAACGCAGTCACTAAAAAATGTCCAGTGACTTCATCCGCTATAAGAAACTTCTGGATTTATGATACAAAATACAACAAATAAGGGAATAAGGACCAAAAGATTTTTCTCCACATTTAAGAAATAAGCAACTTACCACACTGTCAATTGAAACACCCAAAATTTCTGTGTTAAGCTTCTTAAATTCCTCATAGCGGTCACTGAAAGCGGTAATCTCTGGAAGCAGTGAGGCAATGGAGGAAGCAAATCTATCAGAATAAAATACAAAAGAAACTCCAAATTAGATTTTTAGACTCAAACTAACCAGTGGGGCAGACAAATGTGAAGTCCAGTGGGTAGAAAAAGAGTATCACATATTTCTTCCCAATATATTCAGAGAGCTTGACCTGAAACAAGAATGCAGCAATTCAATTGAGAATTCAACACAAAAATACAACATACAGAGCAATATGCTATTACATACAATACCTTAATGAACTCCTGATCAAAAACTGCCTCGGCCTCAAAATCTGGAGCAGTATTTCCCACTAACGGAAGTTCACTCTGCAAATTCAAGACATAAACTACAAATTAACAACAGAAATGGGATCAAGGAGGTGCAATCTTTTCTAAACTAGCAAAATGGAAACAGAAATGAAAATAAAAGAAAACGGAGATGGAGAATCGACGGCACTCACAATAGCTTTCACTGCGAAGCTCTTTCGAGAATGAGAGCCGCGGCTCAGTGAAACCGATCGCGAAACCTGAGAATGGAGAGACCTGCGCAGACCGTGGAAAGAAGTTGGAACAGTTAGGGATTGAGCCACCGGATTCACAACCGGCGCAGATTTGGGAGACAAAACCCTAGCGTTGGAGACGAAAGCAGTCGCTGAGGTAGCTGCGCAGGCCATTCCGGCGATGATACCCACACTCACTTGGAAGTCTAAGGTGGAAAAGAAATGGTGGTTGAGACTAAGAAGATAAGTAGACAGCGTGCGAGTTGGTTTGGTGGAGGGATTTTATACCGGTTTTCCGGCTCCGTACATTTCGATCCGTAGGTAGCATTGTAAACTTGACTCATCACATTTTATGACAATGCAATACTTAAAATATGATAAAATATCGCACCGAGCTTTTTGGGTAAAGTGGCAATAATCATAACCACACTCATAGTGCATTCCCTCTCCTTTGGGGTTCGAACCCAGCTACTTGTAAAAGTTTATTAAAAAATATATATAATAAAATATCATGTTCAAAAAAAAAAAATGATAAAATATAGTGTAATATTCCAAACTTAAATTTCTCACATCATACTAAATAAAATATAACATATTATTAAACAGTGCGCTCCGGTCAATGGTAAGGATTTTGCATTAAAATTATTCATTTTTTTTTAGTGACATAGTTGAATATTATGATTTTTTTTTCTTTCCTCAATTAATAAGTAAATAATTTTAATTTGTTAAAAAAAATATATATTATTAAATAAGTGAGGTATATAATATTTAGATAATTTTTAAATGAAGAGAGAGGATTATAGTGAATGACTTTACCTGTTATACCTACTAACCACCATGTTATTGCCACAACATTGCCATGTTAGAATAAAAATTGTTTAACTTAGATTGATAAGTGCTATAAAACTTCTACCTTTCACTTTGAATGGGGTTTAATCTTTGATTTAGTGATATATAAAAAAAAAAGAACTTCATAACAAAAAGTTTATAATTAAACTCTCAATTTTTTAAGTCAGTCTCTTCAAGTTTTATTGTTCTTTTACAACTCTCAAATACAAAATTTCATTGAAGATCTCGAGAGTAGTGAAAGAACATTAAAAATTGAGAAGATTGATTTAAAAAGTTGAGAATTTGATTATAAGTTTTATATTCTAAAATTCTTTTTTTAAAAAAAATTTTTAGATTAATAAATTAGGGACTTATCACATTTAAAGTAAAGGACAAAAGTTTTACCATCCTTATCGATTTGAGTTAGAAAATTTTTATTCTAGTGTGTCAATGACATGGTGCCTAATAGGTATAAGTTAATGGGCAGATATGGGTACGTGAGTCCCGCTCATTTGCTATCAATTTTGAGGCAATTGTCAAAGACATGAATAGTTTTAGAGTTAAATAACTTACATTGTATGTAGAGGGGCTAAAACCTGCAATAACAAGAAGCTGGAGGGTGGCACAGGGGGTTAAGCCATTCTTTTTCCTTTGGGCTTAGGCCCAATTTCTTGAATCCTCCACGGAATACAGATAGCAATCTCGGATTCCGAATCATATTTTCTAAAGCCTCATCCTATCTCCATCGCCTCTTATATTTTTCTGAACAGGAAATACAGTGTCTTCTGCGTCATGTGGACAGAATGCAAGAGGCACACTCCGTCGTCTCCGCCAAGAATCCCTTCCCTCCATTGTTCTTTTCCAGCAAACCCCATTATTTTCTCTCACTTTCTCGCCCCAGAAGCCTTCACTTTCTCGTCCTTTCCACCAAAACAATCACTCCTCCTCTCAAACCCCACAAGGAATTGCAGTCTGTATCACCTTCTCCACTCTCCCCTCCCAGTACCCACTCCGACTTTGAGGAGAAAATGCTCTATTTAGACTCCATGGGTCTCGATTTCTTGTCTTTGATTAACCACTACCCTCCGATTACAACTACGTCTCTCTCTGACATCAAATCCACCGTTGATTTCCTCGTTTCGATGGACTTCACTGCGCTGGAGCTGCGTCGGATGCTATCCATGTGCCCAGAAATCCTCACGGCTCAGCCTTCTGCTATTCTCCCCATTTTCACCTTCCTCCTTCGGGAAGCCCGTGTCAACGGCTCTGATATTAAGAGGGTCATCAACCGACGGCCCAGGTTGCTCGTTTGCGGCGTGGAATCCCGGTTGCGCCCCACTCTGTACTTCCTCCAAAGCATCGGGATAGCCGAGGTAAACAAACACACTTCACTCCTCTCCTGCAGCGTCGAACAGAAACTTATCCCTCGCATTGAATACTTCAAAAAAATTGGCTTCTCTCGCCGGGAAACAGTGTCCATGTTCCGTAGATTTCCGCAGCTATTCAATTACAGCATTAAGGATAATTACGAGCCCAAGTTGAATTACTTTGTGGTGGAAATGGGGAGGGACTTGAAGGAGCTAAAGGAGTTTCCCCAGTATTTTTCATTTAGTTTGGAGAACAGGATAAAGCCTAGACACCAATGTTGTGTGGAGAATGGTGTTTGTTTTCCTCTACCTGCGTTGTTGAAGACCAGGGATGCCCAATTTCGGGATAGATTGGAAGTGTGTTGTAATTCTAGCATTCCCTTGAAGAATTCTCCTTTGTGGTTTACAAATTGTAATAATGATTCAATCGAGTTAGAAAGCTGATTTCTTTATCTTCTGTATAAAAATTTCGAATTCGATCCCATGGATATCAAGATTTGAGGTTTTGATATTGATGGAGATGAACTCTGCATTTCAACAAATAGATATATAGAATACATTCTCAGGATAGTCTTGCTCTATGACGATGGACAAGAAATGAACTTGCACATGAAATTTTCTTGTTTCAGTTTCAGCAAAATGATATAATAAAGGTCAAATAATTAAACACAAGCTTGATGATACAGTGCCGAGTGATAGAGAAAGAGAAGGAAATGCAGCAGTAAAAGGAGTTTTAAACTGAAAAAAATTTTACTGATATGAACTGCTATTTTTATTTCACTGATAACAGCCAGAACACATCAACAACACAACCAAATAAATAGCAACTAACTCCTAAAAACAAGGCTACATGGCTAACATGCAGATTGACACGTACTGCACTAAGTCCTAAAGAGTAGCTAATAAACAAACTGGTTCCTAGATAATAGGTGACAGTAAAACAGTAATGGGATCAGGATTATCAAACCAACACCGAGTAGTGTGATGTTTGACCTCGGTGCCTTGATGCTTAGTTTGACAGCGAACGTCTTCTCTTTTCCTCTATACCTGACTGAGAGAATCTTTTGCGAAGAACTTCAAGGACATCTTCGACTTTAACATCTCTACATCTTAACAATACCATTGCGTGGTATAGCACATCTGCCATCTCTGAGGCAGTTCTAAACTTGTCCTCATTTTCCTCCAATGTTCGACATAATTCATCTGCCTCTTCCCTACAAATATAAGCAGTGGCATTGTTAAGATCTAGAAGCAAAGGTGCTTGCTTTAATCTGTCAATACATGGATAACATTTACGCAGACAAGAAATTTGGCATACACACAAGACAGAAATAAAGGTGCAAACTGCAAACAAGTAAAAAGAGAAGCTATATCTTTCAAGATCTAATAAACATAGAATATCTTTCATATTTGCTGTATCTTTCCAAGAAAAGAGACAACATACCTCACTAGTATCTATATACATTCTTTTCTAGAGGCACTACTGTCAACCAAAAAAGAAACCAACTGAAGTACCTGATTTTTGAACATAACAATTGGTCATTTAGAAGTAATCGTTTTGTCCATGATGGTTTTTCATTTTGTGAACCCCCTAACTCTGCTTTTCTTTGGGAAATTGTAGACTCCAATAAGTACAGAGTCGTCAATGCTAATTTATTTTCTTCCACCTGTCATAAAAGTCAAAATTCACCATAAACTCATAAAACACCATAGCAGAACTGTTGTAATGTGGAATTGAAGTAGGACATAAAGCTCATTCAGCATTCCACAAACCTGTTGCTCCTTCAACAGATCAAATGCTGATGTGTAATAGCAAGTTTCCGCTCCTGTGTGGCAGGTAGGGCCATCAGGCTTCCCAAGGTAAATTATCTGAAAGAGAGTTTTCAATTGAGTAAGGCTCTAGTGCAAAATCCAGGCTGAGAACTTGACCAATAGCCAATTTACTCCAACAGAAAGTTGTAGAGAGCATACCGAGTCACGATCACAATCAAGAAAGATGTCATGAACATTGATGAAATTCTTGGACGTCTCTCCCTTTATCCACAATGTTGACCTTGATCTGCTGTAAAATGTTGCCTTCCCAGAAGAAATTGTTGCAGCTAGAGCATCCCTGTTAACAAAGCCTTGCATTAATATGGCTCCTGTGTCAACATTTTGAGCTATTGCCACTGCTAAACCTTTGTCGTCCCATTTTATACTGTCTAACAAAGTGTCAACCTAAAATTAAGACAATTAGATATATCATCCTTTCTATTAGTCTAGGAAAATTTTTGAAAGATATATAATACAAAAGAAATCTACGAGTTAGACAAAAAAAAAAATAGAGACATGAACTTTATAAGTACTAAGAATCAAAAGCATGAGAGACAATAAAATGCATCCAAAACAAGAACCGCTTCAATGTAACTACAGCAACATAGTTATACATGCATGTAGGAGAGGTAATACAGCTTACTGCCACTAACAAAGGAATGATGTAATATTGAAAGCTATGTATCCTTAAAGCAATATCTTTCTAAGTAAGTAGTCCTAAATGCTAAAGCAATGTCTTTTCCATGATAATAATATATACTGATTCAGAAAAAAGTAAACTTTAACATGCGTATAGATCTGGTACAATCAGGATTTAAACCCTTAAACCCTAAACCCCTAAACCCTAAACCCTAAATCCTAAACTCTACCCTAATCCCTAAACCCTAAATCCTATAAACAAAAATTCAGCATAGAAAACATGAAAGAAGAACAAACTTCAAATAGTATAACAAAAACTTGATTGAACACAAGAAAGAAAATGTTAATGGATTCTACCTGAGAGTTGGGTTCCTGAGTCGGCTCCCCTTTCTCGACTGTTTCAGTTTCTCCTCCACTTGAAGCGAAAGGAATGAACTTTACGAACTGGGAAGAGGACGCAGAATCGAACTGGATGGAAGTCGTATGAGCAATTCTTGAGCTGTGGATCGTTCCCCTGAAGTGGAGGTAAAACGGTTTCGGAGAATGCAAGGAAACGGGAGTCAGAGGCGGAAGTAGAGGAGAAGCCCTAGATCGCGACATTTTGAGCAGAGTAGCCTTAGTGAGGATGCAGAGAAGGAAAAAAAGTCTATTATACCCCCGAAACAAGGATCTTCGTCGGGGTAAAATCGAGATTTTACTAATTTATAATAAAACAATATAAAATTAAAAATTAAAGGATGAAATTCACAAAAAAAAAAACAATAAATCTAACCCAAACCCAAATATTGAGCCCAATAACCACTTTCACAAATTAGCCCATTAAAACCCAAACCCAAACCCAAAAAACCCTAGTTTTCCTTTCTCTTTTAAGGGGGGAGCCACACCAAAAATAAGGCTGCAGACAGCCAAAAAAAAAATAAAAAATAAAAATCTAGATTCTTCTCCCATCCAGAACCCCTTTCTCAATTTTTTCCTCCGATCAATAGCTTCCACCTACATCACCGGTCATCACCTGATTCTTCTCCCATCCAGAACCCCCTTTCTCCATTTTCTCCGATCGTGGGATCCCTCCTTCAGATCTGGATCTGCCTTTCTCCAAAATT